TAAAGTTCCTTAAATATGGATATTTAAAGTTCCTTAAATATGGAGCACCTGGGTGGCTCTGAGTCTTGATTTCGGCAAAGGCACGATCCCAGGGTTGTGGCATCAAGTCCCAAAGGTGGGCTCTGCACTGGAACCTGCTTGGGATTCTCTCGCTCTTCCTCTCTCTGCCCCTTCCCTGCTCACTCTCTCTCAATAAATAAATGAATGAATAAAGTTCCTCAAAAGTAACATAGCTTTTCCAGTTCTTCCAGTTTTGAAATAATATTCATGCTCTATTTCTTAATTGGTACTTTTGTTTTCCTAGTGCATTTTATATATATTTGTGTAAAAAGACTCTGGTGTTGCTGTTCTTGTTTTGTTTGCTTTCGATATGCACCTAACATGCTCTTATTCATAATACTTTTAGTAAACTCACTTTTTTTTCTATGAATCAGTTGGTAAAGCAACTAATAGCCACTCATTCTAATCTACATGTCATCAGCAGCCTTAAAAAATATTTATGGCACTGATTGGAATTTAAACAAAAACTTTAAAAAAGGAATTTAAAAAAATGTTATTTATGGCACACCTACCATATTGCAACTACAAAAAGGGTTGCTATAGTAGCTGTCTCAAAGGACTTAACTGCAAAGAAAAAAAAACAGGCACACAAAACAAATAAACTGAGTCGTATAAATAATAAACAGAAAAAGAATCCTGAAAAAAGGAAGTATTTGTGTAGGATAATGTAAAATGAGGGGATGAGGCTTTGAGCTACACATAAGACTGAAGCTTACTTATCTTTGAAGGGCAGATGTGATATGAAAAGGTGACAGGAAGAAAAGCAGAGTGTAAGAGCATAACAAATACAGCAGTTAAGTGACTGCGGGGTATTTTATTGATCTGCTCCACTACTTAACTACTTAAATGGTGAAGTTCATTTGGTGGAAACAGGATGAAATCTTGCAAGTTACGCAGAGGAAGTAGGACATGAAAGGGAAGCAGCGGTGGGCCACTGTGGTCCTTGGGTGGGTATGACCACTGTGAAAGCTTTTAAGAAGGCAGCTTCTTTATTCTAGGATTTATATGAAAGATTATTCTAAGATAAAGCACACTGCTTTGGTCTGAATGTCTGTGTTCACCCCAGATTCATGTTGAAATCCTCACCCCCAAA